TATTTGTCCCTGGTATTTACTGCCTTTTCTTTAGCTGATATGCTAGTGCATTTTTATTGTTTTTGGACATCAACTTCTTTCCCGGTAGAGGGGGATTTATTATAGTTCCCTTAGACCACGCTACTTCCCTTTTGTCTTCCCAACATAGTTATTATGCAACCATTTTTAGGTTCTTTATTAGCTGCTTTTCTCATTGTATGGATTGTACCTACCAATTAATTTCTTGTTCGTGATTTATAGTTGTATTTTATTACATGAGGACTCCCCACGTTGCTGGAGTGAGGATACTAGTGTCTCTACCCTGCTCACTTTTTTCTCCCTTCTGCTTCCTAATTGAGTCATCTGGACTTGTATGTTATTAAACAAGGTCTAAGTATTACTGTTAGGTGGATTTCCTCATTCTTCTTCATGTCGCCCTATTAGAAAATGTTTGGTAGGTTCTCCTCGGAAAAAAAAAAAAAAAACCTAAATAAATGACACAAAATGAGTTTTATCTCAAGACAGAAATGGGGTTAAAACTGGGCTCTCCAAATTCTAAAATCTCCCCCCAAATTGGGTAATTAGATTTAAATGCAAATATTTGGTGTCATTATTTTCTACCCAGGAGATGGGGTGATAATTTGTAAATATTTTGTTGTACTAACTGCTACTTTTTAAGCTAACAGGGGAAGGAGGTCTTCACTGTAAATATCTTAGAAAGAAATACTTAGAGATCTCACTGTTTCTATTTAAATTTGTTATAACAAAATATACTATTTTTTTTTTTTTTGCAAGTGTGCAGCAAAATTTATTGAGGAAGAACAAGTTAAGTTTACAGAGCAAGAGCAAGATACTTGATCAGCAGGCCACTTACAAGAGGCGGCCAAAATATACTGTTCTTATTGGTGCTGTTATGTTAATATGGTTCTTTTTCAAGAGTGTATTAAAATTCTTTCAAAGACTTAGTTGTTTCTTAAAATATGATTTTAACATTTCAAATTATACTAAGAATATTTCTTTTTAGTTTTCTAAATTTACTTTCTGAAAAATAAAAAACCCTAAATTGGCTTATGTCAATAAAAACAAAGAAATAGACTTGAAATCGGAGAATTGAAGAAAATCGCTTTTATCAGTTGAGATCTATTTAAAAATTCAAGAAAGTACTCTGTAATTGGTGTTATTAAACGCAAATGTTTGCGTGAGCCATCATTCAGACCCAGAGTGGGAAGGGACGGAGAGGTAGGAGCCAAAGGAAATCAAGTTGTCTAGCCTCGGCCCAAGTCCCTTCACCGTATAAGGAACCCACTCATTTTCAAACAGTTCAGGAGTTTATTTCGCCAAATTCTCCTCCCTGTAATCCCCACTTGTTTGTCCTACAGAATAATTTTTTTTTTGCCCCACAGAATAAATAAGATTGCAGAATACTTGAAGACATTTCTCATATCCCCTCTTCTGATTGCTGAGTGTATTATTTCCTTAACCGTTCTTTGTGATATTTCTGGAACTCCTCGTTTTATCAGTGATTTTTCTAAAATACAGCAAGCAGAATGCTAAGATTCTCTCACACTGGGTCAGGATTTCACTAAAAGCAGTTTTCTGCCAGGTGCAGTGGCTCATGCCTGTAATCCCAGCACTTTGGGAGGCTAAGGTGGGGAGGATTACTTGAGGCAGTAGTTCAAGACCAGACTGAGCAACATAGTCAGACCCCATCTCTACAAAAAAATCTTTTTAAATATTAGCTGGATGTGGTGGCACGTACCTGTAGTCCCAGCTACTTGGGAGGCTGAGGCAGGAGGATTACTTGAGCCCAGGAATTCGAGGCTGCAGTGAGCTATGATTACGCCACTGCATCCCAGCCTGGACAACAGATTAAGACCCTGTCTCAAAAATAAAAAGTGGGGGGCAGTTTTTTTGTGTAAATGTTTTTAAGATGGGACGAGTTGTAGAGGTTGGCCAGTGGCAGCC